CATTGAAATCCTCGCTCTACATATGAGCTCACAGTCAGTTTTAGATAGAGAAATTCCAACAAGAGAGACTCACTTCATCTGAGGACATCTTGTTAAGAGCCCGAGATGAAAAGTGATGGTGTACTCTAATTGACGGCGCTGAAGACTGGTGGAGTGTTCTGATCGAGGGATGATACGGTGGTAGTCCGATTGGCTGGAGTTTGATGAGTTGATATCTGAATCGTTGGAGGATGATGTTGATGATCTTGTTGTTGGTGGAATCCGACGCGTCTGGTCAACAGCACCGCCACTTCAAAGAAAAGGGGTTGAAAAGGTGGAGATGGCTATTTGGATTATGTAAGCTGGCTCATCGCGCCTCCTGGGTCAAATTGTCGGAGATGGGCAGGCAGCCTTTCAAACTGATACCAAAGAGAAATCCAAAATCAGATGCTCACTCACAAAAGAATGGACATATTTACATTAGACAGACTAAATCATCTGAGGTGTCCAAGGCATGCTGTATATGTGTTTATTTGATCCCATTGAATTGTGAAGCATCAAATAAACAGTGCAACAACAGGAAATAATCCTGTCAATGGATCTGTACCAACAAGGTTACATAGTATCTGTTTTGTTTTATCTATTTACGAGGGCATAGCCCCCATTTTTGGGGTCAGAGGGGGGTTTTAAATGAAAGGGAGAACAGGATTGGATTAATTAGGATACTTGAGAGATTTCCTGGTGATAAAAGGCACATCAATTAGCAGAATGATGATAAAGATGGCCTCAAAAAGATCAGTGTAATATGTGAAACATAATTTGAAACAGTAATGGATTCTTTCATGATCAAGGCCTTTGAAGATATTGAAGAACCTTGTATAAACATTAACATTGCAAAAAGAAATTCCAATTCCAATAGGGGGGTTCAAGATTGAACTTTAAGGCCATTTTTAAGGTGTTTCTGATCATGAATGTACAATTTTTTTGTGATGTACAGAAGGTTCAGAAATTAATAAATTGGAAAAACTCAAAGAAATTCATAAAATGTTGCTCAAAAACACCATAAAAATCACTTGAAGTTCAATTGTGAACCCCTCTAATGTAAGATACATTCATAGTAATAAAATAGGCCAAACAATCAGAATATTAATTCTGCCCCTGGTCAGTGGAAAGTGGCATTTCCTCCTAGATCTCAGTCCTCCATCCAATGTATGAATGAAGCTGTGTATGTAAGCATTTGCAATACTATCATTAGCTCTTTGTTAGGTTTTTTTGTATAGCTCTATTGTATTGATGTGTACTTCTCCGTATAGTTGATCTGTATTTTCAACTAAGTGAAATCATAAGGAGGGTATTCCAAAATTCCAGTTCTCAATAATTGAGCCCCATTTGGACATCCTGTTATACATCATAAATTGCCCCGCACCGGGGGTCACACATTATAAATTCAATGATTTATGACATATAACGGGCTGTCCAAATGGGGCCTGAAAAATTTACCTTCAAGAAAAAATATGCCAAACTTCAAGAAAAAATATAACAAACTGGAAGAAGCCAAAATGTGGGTTACTCCCAATGTAGCTTGTCTTATAACTACAACAAAAAATAAAGTAACAATTTATGCAAAGTTACTGTGAAATGTGCACATTGTCAGCATTGGATTTTCTTGAATCAAATTTTGAGTGATCTCTGAGGAAGAAACCAAGTTTAAGCATTGATTCTGAATTAAAAAAACTCAAGTATTCAATTGAAACAATTACCTTGATTAGAATTTTCTATACTTCCCAATTTTGACCAAGGTATTACTGGAATTTTTGAAAAACTGAACAGGTGTTGTAAACAATTATTTTGCATCAGGTCACACTTGCCATGTTTTGTCCTTGAATCAGAGAAGATATACAGGGTTAGAATATAAATTAAGGGGGAGCAATTCTTTTGAAACGATCCATGCTATTTTCAGGAATGAATTCAAATGTAGATTTTAATCCTATCTCAAAATAAAATTTTGTCTATGCTTCTTTGGTCACAGCAGATTTATTAATGACAAATGTAAATGTGGCATGATGGAAGCAAAAATTGCATCCAGATTTAAATCCAAACAATTTACAATGAGGAGTTGGAATTCAGTCTTTGATGAAGAAATCAAACTCAAAAGCTTCATGAGAATGTCATACAAATCAGAAATCTGGATTGAGGATTGATGCCAAGGGTTGGAGATTCTGACACTCTGTTTGGCTATCTGAGGCTCATGTAGATTGGAAAATATGTTATACAGATGGTAATTTGAAATTTTACTGTCATTCAATCAGCATTTGATACATTAGCAAAACTTTCTTCAATTTCAGAACTGAAAAAAATGTTTTACTTTATATGGCAGTTTTTGATCCCCTTGGACTATAAGCTAAAAGCAAGCTGAGGAAAATTTCAATGTGAAAGGGAATATGCAGATTTTACATTGCATGGTACTTCAAATTTGAATGAGTTCAGTCAGTCTTACTTGCAGATTTTACCACCTCTTTCAGTTTCTTCAAAGTTTTCCAGATTTTACCACCTCTTTCAGTTTCTTCAAAGTTTTCTGATGCTTTTACTATTGTTTGCTACAATTATTTTCAATATCATTTGAATTGATTCATGATGATGATGTTATTTGATGTTATTGGCTTGTTTAAGAATGTTTTGATGTTATTTGATGTTATTGGCTTATTTAAACAAAAAGGATGATTTTCAGAAAAAAGTCCCTTTTTGAGTAGGAATTGACAGTAATCTGAATCAGGGAGACTGAGTTGTGATTGGTTGTAGGCCAAGAGCATGCTTGATGATAGCTCAGCAAACCGGAGGTTCATCAAATTTGGTGAGGCTCATCGAGGTTGGAATGAATTCAGATTGGATCAAAGCAATCAATTAAAGCGATCTCAAAGCGATGGCCTGGCCGCCTGTGTGACGATCAGCCCTTCACTTGCTGGGTGAATGGCCAGTTCACTCTCCAACATCGACGCCGGCGTTAGAAGCCGCATGAGAATTCAATACAAAGCTGAATTGAGGGTCGACGCCGAGGTTAGAAAGCCTGACGGTTTGTTTGGCCCTCTGAGGCTATTCCTTTAGTTATATGTAGATGCAATCTGTACTAAGACTAGAGCCTGGTATTCACATGTGCCAATAGGCTGATCATGACAGATCTGTGCCAACCAGATTTCCATTTGCCCTAGGCATCTTACAGATTCCAAAGACACTGTGGTAAATTTTTTGAAAGTTATCTCCATTGAAATAGGGGGTTAGAAAAACAACTCCCAAATTTTAGTTGACAACTCCCAACAGATGTCTGTTGACAATTGTTGGGAGGTGTCTTCTAATTTGGCGGCTGGTTATGGGAGTTGTCCCACCATCTTTCATATATATATATATATATATATATATATATACCCCAATGAATTTTGTGGCTTGCCTCCCAGCTGTAATTGACTCAATATCTCTGCACTCAACTCTATCCACTCCTCTCCAAACCCCATAAATATAAATGACACAACTACACATGCAGCAACTCCCACTTGCTGCTCTCTGAAGAAGATAAAACAGAAAACTGGCCCAAAAACAATACACATATTGAAACTCTCAAGCATCAACAGTGACAACCCAAAAGAAAAGGAAGACTTGGAAATGGAGTCATTAGATTTAAATACCAGCAGATGGCAAAAAACTTAAATTGAGAGATAGGCATGACCGTGTCAGGAGACAAAAAGCAATTGAGAAGAGAAGCTGCAAATGAGAAGTGATAAAACAAGCAAGAAGAAAACCCAAGGAATCAAAACACTGGAGAGAAAAAGAGTGAGACAAAAGATCGTTTGTCCTCCATCCAATCATGACTAATTTGCATGGTTTTAATGGTTGGCTTACTCCACAAAGGTTGGTTCTGGAGGGATCTGGTTTAGCCGTCTTACAGCTGCTCACAGCTGCCACACAGTCTCCAGTCCACAACTGGAGCTCGACCTTTGACTTCTGTGAAATTTGGTTGCAGGCCGGGGAACACAAGCTGATTGCCCCCCAGACCAAATAAAGGACTTTTTGCAGGGGGCTGTAAGACCAAAGGGAAGTCCTATTACCATCATCTTTTCAAAGTTGATTATTTCATGATCAAGCCCTACAGATACTGCATGAGTGCATTATGATTGGCTTGATAAAATATTGGAAATAGGAACACATGTCATAACCAGGAAATAAGGAATAAAATCACTGGCAAGATAATCATTCTCAGTAATAATTAGGTCTATGGTGAACCCACCTTTATTTCCGTTGATCTACATATTTATAATTATGGTATTCAAAGTTGAAATGCATGAAATCATAACCACATAAATCATAAGATCTTAAAACCTTGTTTGCAGGGGATCTTGGTAATCTGATTATGTAAGCTTTGGCTTTCCCAGCCAAAATGTTTTATGATTATATGATTTATGCACTCTATGATTTCATGCAATTCAACTTTGAATACCATAAATGCTTGCCTCGGTTCTAATGTGGCTATGATTAATCAACAGTACCCTCATAACATAGATACAACATAGGTGTGCTGCCATGCAAATTTTCGCGCAAACCTTTTTCCTTTTGCTTGGGCTATGCATCTTTGTGAGATTCGAATGACACTGGGTGCATCGGTCTGCGGTCAGTTCGATTAACCTTTACAAGATTTCTTCATCAATGAAACCGAGAAAAAAAATCAAAACCCCCTATATTAGAGAAAACTGGATAGATGTACGACCTGCAGCAGCTTGCTGCCACTGGGCCGACTTCCTGTTGCTGCAGAGCAGTTACTACAAGCTGTCCATAGTCCAGTGCGGGCCGTTTTTGGCAGGTCGTCGCAGAGTTCCAACTTCCAATGTTACAACAGAAAAATTACTTCCGGATGGTAATGACACTTTGAGCGCCAGTCCAAATCAGAACCAATTTGATGGATTCCCTGGAGGGTACTTGAAGTGTGGATGCCGTCCGGCCGTACGAGCCCTCCCGAAGGCTATGTACATGATCATGAGCTCCCCACGAAGGGTCCCCCCACCGGCATAAAAAAGTGGGGTCGGGAACAGGCCGACCTCAGCCAGTCGATTGCCGAGCGGTGGTACTGGTGCAGTCAAACATGAATGGACGGGTTTGGCCTTAAGCATGTCCATGACAGTTCCGATCGAAATCAATGCCATTCCCCTCAGTTTTTGACCGAACCACCCGCCATTTATTGGTTAACTTCAGCCAGAATGCTATCCGCATCAGTCAAAAGCTCTTTCGGACTTCAGCCATTTCCTCGAGACGGCTGGTAATTCTGAAGCCGACTGGGCGGAAGAGCCGTCGTGGTGTCTTTGACTTTACTTCATAAACAGGCTGGCTTTCTGGGCAAACTGCTTCTTCCCACCATCCTTCTCGCTCCCTCATCAAATTACCTTTAATAATCATTCATTTCCTTCAAGACTTCCATTCGCAAAAAAAACAAAAACTCATCCAAATCTTTTAATCATGTCACCCATCATCATCAACCAAATCGTAAACCTTGAGAACCTTAAACTTACTTTTGTAAGGCCGCAAGCCTTTTACCAAACCTCGCCCGACAAATCCCCCGCTCCTCTCATCACCGCAAAGACCGTCGTCATCTTAATCGACATCATCATCGTCGCAATCATCTCTATCTTGATTCTAATGGGTTACTTCCTCTATCGTCGTCAATTACGAAGAAAAGAAAATTTAACGAAATCTTTCGAAACTTCCGAAGCGAAAATGGCTTCAGAATCGAATCACCCAGGTTAGTTATAATTGTTCCCCTAATTCTTGATCATCAAACATGAAACAGTCTGCTCATACCCTTTTCTTCTCTTTGTGTTTAATCTTCCAGCCATGGATAGCCATTCCATATGCTCATCGACACCGAAACAAAGGAGGAATTAATCTACGAAATTTAACACGGGAAGGGGAACCCAAAATTCCTTCTCCCAGTGGGTTCTGGCAACAAATATCCCCGGGACACTTCAATCGTTTACCACATTCTTTGCAACCCACTTCAGTCTCACCATTCCAAAAGAAAAGAGTTTAGTTACTCGTTAATACCGTCATCCGCCATTCGCAATTCCTATCCACCAAGTTTCTCATCATTACCACATGCATGCTGTTAACTCTAATATCACTCGGCTCCAAATCCTTTCTCTAATTAATTTAATCAGACACTATTTTCAAACATCTTTCATTCCTTGTTGTTACTCCCTATTAGAATAGCACAATACAACCTTGATTGATTGTTATTTCCATTCACCTAAACCACTTCCTTTGACAAATGCAATGATGCATACACTCAGGATCTAATAACTGAATGCACGGTGTCAATAAAGATTTGTCATGAGATTAAATCTGAGTTGGTTAGATTTCCCCTACCTGAAAGGTTGGAACAGCCAAAGACTTTCAAGTAGTGCATGGAGAAGAAATTATACTTGATTTCCAAAATCAAGATGATCTTCTTTCTTCTTCAGAGAGACAATTTTTTGTTTATAAATTAATGGTCCAAATAGCTCCTCAAGTATATATTTTTTTCAAATTCAAGCAGATCATTCCAAGGCTGTCTATATATTTCAGAACAAAAAGAAGTTGGAAGAGACAAGAATATGTGGTGTCAGCAATGCCCTAACTAATCTCTCAGGGTCCTAAAAACATATATTTAAATCTGGATAATCAGAACAAGGCTGATTAACCTGAACCCGATTATTGCACAGCCAGATGATGACAAGATCCTCATCTTATAAAATTACAGTGGATTTCTGGTGGAACAGTGTGACCAGCCAACTGCGGGCACAAGTTTTGGTTATGGTCATCAACATGGTTTCCCCTGAAAAAAAAAATCTGCTGGATTTTTGAATGATCTTTTATCATAGGGAGTTGGTTAAAAGACTCCTAAAAAGACTGTCAACGGAAATCTGTTGGGAGTCGTTCCTCCAAATGGATGGCTAACTTTTTGCAGTCAGCTATCCATTTTTCTTTTGGGGGTTGGAAAAACGACTCCCAAAAATTAGCCAACAACTCCCATTTTGGTCGAGGGGTTGTCGGGCGGGAGTCGTTCCTCCAAATCGATGGCCAACTTTGGGAGCCGGCCATCAAATTTCGGGTGGGAGTTGTTCCTCCAAATCGATGGCCGACTTTGGGAGTCGGCCATCAAATTGTTTTTTGATTTTTTAATTTTTTTTTTTAATTTTCAGGGAGTTGGCGCCCCAAACCACCCCTCATGCTTGAGGGGGTTTGGGAGTTGTCGCTCCCATGACCGGAAGGATCTTCTTCTGGTCAACAAGAAACAAAAATCTCATCGACCGGAAGGGATTCCTTCCCGTCGATGAGGTATAACATCCTCATTGGCCGGAAGGGATTCCTTCCGGTCG